CAAATGCGTCGGCACGTGTGTATGTTTCTGAGTAATGTATCTTGTACTACTAATTAGCTGTTATGTTTACTGCGCTAAGGTTCAACTTGCAACATCATCGGTTATAACGTTAGCTTGTATATTTATTGTAAGTTTTGTTATTTAACAATCAGTATTTTAATATTTGTGTGACATTCCAGATTCTATCAATTTACAAACATCTTAGTTGAATTCACCACTTAATCTCCTATGTTTTAACATAGCTCTCTGTCCCAATGCATTATCAGAGTGATGTCAGTGATGTATTATAGAAATTATTATAAACAAAATGATGATCAGTACAATATATGCAGTGGATTTACTTATATTTACTTATTTACAAGACATTTTGTGTTAATGTTCCTTCTACTTAATTATAGTACACCTTCTGTGGCCGTGTACGTATTTATTTCACTGTTCAGAGCTCTTGAAGATATATTTTTGTTCAAATTCTATTTCTGTACAAATCAGCTAGATTTATTTCGTCTGGTGAGCTTTGAACAGAATACTTTTGCTTCTTAATTATTTGCAAATTTTTTATTTAAGTTTTTTTTTACTTATGTTGTAATAAGTTTTACATCAAATACAGCGTGATTATACATATTTCAAAATAGTCTTTTATTAGTAGTTAATAGTAAAACGTTAGCTACCCGCTTGTAGCATCGCATAGAGCCCTGTGTTTTCTTATGTTGATTTTTTATATTTCTTAAACAGTATGTGGTTATGGGTTGGATCCCACCTGTCAGCACCCATCAGCCCCGTGTCCATACTACACGTGTGTTTTATATGGGGCGTCGTCAGCGCAAAATTACAGAAAATACACGTTCAGTATGAACTCTTGTCCTTGTGCTGATGTGTGCTCATTTGTCCAACCTGTACGGTGTTCTTCCTTTGCACAAGTTAATCTAAATTAGCAGATCTACTAACCGTAAATAAGTAAAATAAAAAAAAATGTACTGTGTAAAAACACTAATAAAGAGTAAAGAATGTAGTAAACTGTTAAGTTAGTATGTGTGCAACAGAAGGTACATCAATCAGTATGTACTTAAAAGTGTCGGGTAGAGATGGGGTAGAATCGAGTTTGGTCGATATTTGTAAAATCTATTATGAAATATATCTTCCCGTAGTCACCCATGACAATATTTAGAATTATTTTACGGACCAACGTTAGAAGTTAACAAACTTCAAGTTACATCGTCCGTATATTCTATGTCAAACACCAAAAAACGTTTATTAAGCTTCACGTTTTGATATTGTTAAAGCTTATTTGTTGCAGTTACCAAATAAAATAAGTACACACACAATGGTATATTTTTTTTAAACTGCCTTTTGTCAACATTGTGGTGTCCCAATATTTATAAGAATTTTTATGCATGTAATGTTAAAATAATGCATGCTCGATAAATAATTATATTCAGTTACGTTTCGTGTTACATAGTAAAGGATCTTGGTCCACCGGATATATAAATAATATTATCAGTATTCTAGATATTTTGTCAGTAGCACATTTACGTATAGAGCGCTATAAAATTGTCAATTTTAAAAGTTTAGCTAAATTTAAAAGTTTCGAAGAGTTCTCACATTGAAATGTAAGTAAATAATGTAATAAATAAACATTTGTTGTAAAATGTAATTGAGTATTTTGAGGCCAACAGAAATAAAATAATTTAACCTGTTATGGATTGTTTGGTTTTGTAGTTAGAATTCTAAAAATCCTGTTTGATATATTGAGATAATTATACTATACATATAAATAATATTTACCTACTTTTATTGCTATTGTCGTACAGTTCAATACTATATGTATCGTGTAGGCGTGTCACTTACCATCAGGCGCACGACTTCTCCGTCCCGTCACTTGATATTATATGTATAAAGAAAGATATTAAAAATATTTATTTATTCTCTCTCTCTCTCTTTCTCATCTGAGCGTTGTCCCGGTTGCGTTCTCAGCAGTGTTGCTGCGGCGCCCGGGGTCCGCTTTCCTGCTTTTTCTCCTCCACTTTGCACGGTCTTCGGCATCCTTAATGGTGAGACCATTGGCACGCACATCACCCTTGGCGACGTCAAGCCAGCACTTCTTGGGTCTGCCCCTTCTACCGGGGCCCGGCGGAGGTGGCATAGCCAGACAGTTGTTTCCCACGTAGCATGCCGGTTTCCGTAAGATGTGGCCGTACCAACGTAGGCGGCTTTCTTGCAGTTTATCTGCAATGTCACGGAAGTGAAAGCTGCCGCGGATGCGGGAGTTTCTGTCACGGTCTTTCCGTGAAACTCCACACATCCAGCGCAGCATCTTCATTTCCGTGACACGCAGCTCCTGCTTGTGACGCACAAGTACGGGCCACGTTTCACTGCCATATAAAAGGACAGGCCTAATGATGGATTTATAGACCTGTCTTTTCAGCTTAATAATCTTGGGGTCACAAATGATACCAGTCACCTCACGCCACTTTGCCCAAGCGGCTACGATTCGAGCTCTGACGTCGCAGTCGATGTCTCCGGACTAAGTACAGATCCCAAGTATTTAAACTGGCCTGTAGGCTCGACCGCGTCTTCGCCTATGCGAACGGGTAGGGGATCTGTAGCGTTGCAGACCATGTACTCAGTCTTCGCCACATTTAGTCTCAGACCGCCTTTCTCAAGCGACTCCTTCCACACATTCACTCGTCGTACAAGTCTCCCTCTATCCGCATCCGCCAGCGCAATATCGTCAGCGTACATAAGCATCCACGGGGGTTGCTCATGCGTGTCTCGGATGGAGCTTGAGACCTCGTCTAATATCACGCTGAACAGATAGGGACTGAGAACTGAGCCCTGGTCGACTGTGACAGGGAAGGGTTTAGTGTCACCAATAGCAGTCCTAACCATGGAATCGGAATCGCGGTACATGTCTCGGATGATGTCAATATAAGCTTCTGGTACTCCTTTGGATCTCAGTGCCCACCAGATCATTACACGGGGGATACAGTCGAAGGCCTTCTGCATGTCAAGAAACATGAAATGCAGAGGCGTATTCTTCAATCTGTATTTCTCCATGATGACCCTTAGGGCAAAAGCAGGATCCATGGTCCCAAGACCAGGCCGAAACCCATATTGACCCTCCGAGACGGCACTCTCCTGTCGGATCCGAGAGTCTATTATACGCTCGAAGAGCTTCATGGTGTGGGACATGACCTTTATGCCGCGATAATCGCCACACTCCTGCACCGGTGAGGAGCACACGATTAAAGAGGCCGGTAAGGCACAGCACGGGGATCCATTGCCTTCCAGGCCTCGATGGGAACCCCATCGGCTCCGACAGCTTTCCGATTCTTAATGCGACGAAGAGCTAAGTGGATTTCCTCAGGCGTTACCGGTCGCACTAGTCCCTGATTCGGAGGGAGGACCGGTGGCTGCACCTCTCTGTGCTGCTGATTCAGCAGCTCGTGGAAATATGAGCGCCATCTCTCCTTCACTGCGTCGACCTCGCATATAAGGTTGCCATGAGGATCTTTAATGCAGCGACACTTGGAAATATCTTGTGCCGCTAAGACCCTCGAACGTGCCAGCTTAAAGATAAGCTTCTGCCCCTCAGACGATTCCAACTTGTCGTACAACGGCTGCAAGTGGTCCCGTCTGGCTCTGGCTACAGCTTTCTTAGCGGCACGTTTGGCATCCCTATATGCATCGCGGTCTTCAGAAGATCCGGACGCTTGCCACGTTTTGAAGAGGGCTTTCTTCACCCTCACCTCCCTCTAGAATGTGTCGTTCCACCACCAAGTTTCTTTGTCACATTTGCGACCACCCTTGGACAAGCCCAGCACCGCTTTCGCCGCCTCAGATATGGCAGCCTGAATGTTGTCCCAGTGGTTCTGGACTAGATCACCGTCAGTGTCGGCGTATTTATCGCCGATCACTGAGACGAACTCCTGTGACGTGGTACTATCAAGCCGCCACCATCTGATTTGGCGTCGGCAGCGCTCAGCGGGCTTGTCGGCCGGCTTTACGCAGAGATCCATGACAAGAAGACGGTGTTGCGCAGTGAGACTCTCACCTGGTATGACCTTGCAGTTGGCCACTTTGCTGATATGGTGTCTTCTGGTGAGTAGGAAATCGATTTGGGTGGCGTGTCCGCCGCTCCTGTAGGTGATTAAATGCTCGGGGTTCTTTTTAATGAACGTGTTCACGTTGGCGAGGTCGGCCGCCGCACACGTTGTGAGGATGTCTCCTCCCTCCGCGTTGCGACTGCCGTACCCATAGCCACCGTGGACCCGCTCGAACCCTTCGCACGCCTCACCCACATGACCGTTCAGGTCGCCACCCAAGACGACTGCCTGCGACAAAGGAATGGCACTCAGCATTTCCCCGAGTTGATCCCAGAACCTCGCCCTGTCCGTGTCGCTGCAACCGGCCTGAGGTGCGTAGGCGCTTATCAAGTGGGTCACGACCCCTTCGATACGCACCCTCACTACCATAAGCCGGTCGCTAAAGCGTTTCACTTCCAGGACGTGATGAAACTCCTCGGAGAGCACCACTGGCCACCCCGTTCA